TTTGTATTTTTAGTCGAGACGGGTTTCCTCCTACCATGTTGGCCAGGCTGGTCTTGAACTCCTGACCTCCAGTAATCCACCTGCCTCAGCTTCCCAAAGTGCTGGGATTATAGGTGTGAGCCACTGCGCCTAGATGTGCAAATGTTTTTTTTCCCCAAGACAACTGTCTTTCTTTGATATGCAGCAGAAGGTTATTCAGTTTCATTTTTTCAAGTAGAATATTTAACAACTTATACAAAGCTGAAACTGAGTAAGATTAATCAGGCTGGTGCTAGGTGAAGTGAGTGAGGTAACTTACAGTGCAAAATTTAAGAAAGCAAGAACTAAAAGTGAATACATTTTGCTCTGTAGGTACCTCAAAGTTAATGTATTCTGGCCCTGAGAGCAATAATGTTTACTGCTTTATCGAGGTTCTTTTATTTTCCCAGCTTTTATTGTGTTAAAATAAACAACATAATATTTATAATCTTAGGCCAGGCGTGATGGCTCATGCCTGTGATCCCAGCACTTTGGGAGGCCAAGGCGGCAGATCACTAGAGCTCAGAAGTTTGAGACTAACCCACAACATGACGAAACCCCGTCTCTATAAGAAAATACAAAAATTAGCCGGGTCAGCGGTGGTTTGCACCTGTAGTCCCAGTTACCCAGGAGGCTGAGGTGGGAGGATCACCTGAGCCTGGGAGGTCAAGGCTGCAATGAGCTGTGATAGCACCACTGCTCTCCAGCCTGGGCAACAGAGTGAGACCTGTCTCAAGAGAAATTTTTTTTTTAACCAGCTTAACCATTTTTAAATGTACAGTTCAGTGGTATTTAATACATTTGTCTTGCTAACATCACCACCATTCATATCCAGGACTCTTATCTTGTGAAGCTAAATTTCTATCCATTAAACAAAATGCATGTCTTCATCATTCCTCTCCCCATTCTCTGGCAACCAGCAGTCTACACTATGACTTTTTTTTCTTTTGAGACAGAATTTCACCTCTGTTGCCCAGGGTGGAGTGCAATGGCACAATCTCAGCTCACTGCAACCTCCGCCTCCTGGTTCAAGTGATTCTTCCACCTCAGCCTCCCAAGTAGCTGGGACTACAGGCACCCACCACTATGCCTGACTAATTTTTGTATTTTTTTGGTGGAGATGGGGTCTCTACCACGTTGGGCAGGCTAGTCTCGAACTCCTGACCTCAGGTGATCTGCCTGCCTCGCCTCCCAAAGTGCTGGGATTACAGGCATGAGCTAGCACGCCTGGCCCTACAGTATTATTTTTGACTACTTTAAGTATTTCATTTAAGTGAACTCATACAGTATTTGTCTTTTTGTGCCTGGCTTTTTTCACTTAGCATAATGTCCCCAGGTTAGTCTATGTTGTAGCATGTCAGAAGTTCCTTCCTTTTTAAGACTGAATAATATTCCATTGTATGTGTATACTATGGCTTATTTTATCTGTCAGTGGGCACTTGGGTTGTTTCCTTATGTTTTAGTGCTTGTGAATAAAGCTACTGTGAACATGAGCATACAAGTAATTCTGAGACTCTGTTTTCAGTCTTTCATATGCTCAGAACCTGAACTGGCTGACTCACATGGTAATTTTGTTTAAATTTTTTTTTTTTTCCTTTCCTTTTTTTTATTTTTAGAGACAGGGTCTTGCTCTGTTACCCAGGCTGGAGTTCAGTGGTTCTGTTGTGGCTTTATTACGTTAAATCACAGGGTTCAAGCAATCCTCCCACCTCAGCCTCCCAGTAGCTACAGGGGGATCACAGGTGCACCACCATGCCAGCTAATTTTAAAAGATATTTTGTAGATATAGGGTCTCACTGTGTTGATCAGGCTGGTCTTGAACTCGCGGGCTTAGGCAGTCCTCCCGCCTTGGCCTCCCACAGTGCTGGGATTATGGGTGTGAGCCACTGCATCTGTCCTGTTTTTAATTTTTTAAGGAAGTGCTATAATAGCTTCTACAGTGTCTCAACTATTTTACAAACCTGCCAGCAGTACACAAGGGTTTCAGTTTCTACACATCTTTATAACACTTATTTTCTGCAGGGTTTTTTTTTTTTTTTGTAGTAGCCATCCTAATGTGTGTAAGGTGGTGTCATTGTAATTTTAATTTGCACTTTCCTAATGAATAGTGATCATCAAGGGCATTCTTAGATTGAAGAAAATTTTTGCCTTTTTTTAACCATAAGTGCATGGAAGTGCAGAGTACATGATTAATTTAGCTTGGGCCGCTTGTCTTGATTTGTGCCAAAGCTGCAGTGCAGTTGCCCTCCAGTGCCTTTTGCCTTGTCATTGTTTTTGCATCATTAGTACAGGTGTCAACACAATAAAAAGATAAATGAATGTTTTCGTATGATTATCAAAGTAATTTTAACATTGCAGGCTCCTAAGTTCCTAGATCACTTTTGAGAATTGCTGGATTACTAGCATGTGTTCTATGTTTTGTTGTTCATTTTGCTCTTGTTTGAGATGGAGTCTTCCTCTGTCACCCATGCTGGAGTGCAGTGGCACAATCTCGGCTCACTGCAACCTCCGCCTCCTGGCCGGTGGCGGATTCTCCTGCCTCAGCCTCCCAAGTAGCTGGGATTACAGGCACCCACCACCACACCTGGCTGTTTTTGTATTTTTAGTAGAGATGGGGTTTCACCATGTTGGCCATGCTGGTCTCAAACTCCTGACCTCAAGTAATTCAATTAGCCTCAGCCTTATTGTTGTATTTTCACATGATTCTTATCTGTTTCAGTACCTGGAACTGTTGAAAATTAATGTTATTTAACTTACAGTTGGCTATACATCATTACAAACAGGAAAACTGCTTACACCTTCCAACAGGATTTAGCCATAATTTTTTTTTTTTTTTCCCCCCAGATGGAGTCTCACTGTTGCGCAGGCTGGAGTGCAGTAGTATCAGCGATCTCGGCTCACTGTAAACTGCCTCCCGGGTTCACACCATTCTGCTGCCTCAGCCTCCCGAGTAGCTGGGACTACAGGCGCCCGCCACCATGCCGGGCTAATTTTTTTGTATTTTTAGTAGAGATAGGGTTTCACTGTGTTAGGATGATCTCGATCTCCTGACCTCATGAGCCACCCACCTTGGCCCCCCAAAGTGCTGCGATTACAGGTGTGAGCCACTGTGCCTGGCCGCCATCAATATTTAATTTACTTAGCATGTTATAGCAGTGATTTCTGACTTACCTGCGTATTAAAATCATCTGGAGTGCTCTAAAACCAGTTAGTTCCCAGCTCTAGATTTCATTGGTTCCCAACTCTAGATTTCATTGGTTTGGGATGCTGCTTGGACTTTGGGATTTCAAAAGTTTCTCAGTTGACTCTAATATGCAGCCGAGGTTGAGGACCAGTGCTTTATAGTGATTGAACACTGTTTTGATTACCTGTTTACTCAAGTGTTTTCTATATAATTTAGATACATAGGATTTAAAAATGGTTTTGACACTGTTACTGGAACAGAAGAAATTAGATTATGGTAACATGGTTTAAAAACTTGAGAAGTAGCAGTCAGTTCTATGTAAAAGTTTACTTGGGGCATATCAGTGATTTTTAAAAATGCGGTTGGTAATTCTGATTGGAATATTATGGCCTTTGATGGGTCACTTATTCTCAAAAGTATTATTTTTTTTTCTTAAACCACTGATTTATAGTATTCTTTTTGTATTTACATAAGTACTCACTGTACAGAATTATTGGGAACTCTGCCTCAATAATTTGATGTGAGTCCTTTTCATTTTCCCCAAGTGTTTGCCAGTCTGAGAAATAAAGGGAAAGAGTACAGAAGAGAGAAATTTTAAAGCTGGGTGTCAGGGGGAGACATCACATGTCGGCAGGTTCTGTGGTGCACTCCTGCCGCCAACCAGCAAGTTTTTATTATGATTTGCAAAAGGGGAGAGAGTGTACAAATAGGGTGTGGGTCACAGAAATCACATGTTTCACAAAGCAATAAAATATCACAAGGCAAATGGAGGCAGGGCGAGATCGCAGGACTGAAGTAAATTGTAAATTGCTAATGAAGTTTTGGCATGCATTGTCGCTGATAACATCTTATCAGGAGACAGCACGTGAGAGCAGACGAGGTCTGGACTAAAAGGCGAGATCGCAGGACTGGGGCGAAATTAAAATTGCTAATGAAGTTTTGCATGCATTGTCGCTGATAACATCTTATCAGGAGACAGCATTTGAGAGCAGCGAGGTCTGGACTAAAATTTATTAGGGGGTGGGAATTTCGGCCCTGATAAGCCTGGGAGTACTATGAGACTGACTTATCATCCCTTTATCTACAACTGTAAAAGACAGATGACCCTAGAGCAGCCATTTTAGAGACTTCCCCCAAGGCACACATTCTTCTCAGGCTGTTCCTTGCTGAGAAAAAGAATTCAGAGAAAAGAATTTCTCCTGTTTGCTTTTGAAAGAAGAGAAATATGGCTCTGTTCTGCCCGGCTCTCAGGCAGCCAGACCTAATGGTTATCTCCCTTGTTCCCTCAGCATCGCTGTTATCCTGTTCTTTTTTCAGGGTGCCCAGATTTCATATTGTTTAAACAATTTGTGCAGTTAACACAATCATCACAGGGTCCTGAGGCGACATTCATCCTCACCTTACAAAGATGACGGGATTAAGAGACTAAAGACAAGGCAGGCATAGGAAATCACAAGAGTATTGTTGGGAAAGTGGTAAATGTCCATGAAATCTTCACAGTTTATGTTCAGAGATTGCAGTAAAGACAGGCATAAGAAATTATAAAAGTATTAATTTGGGGAACTTAATGAATGTGCATGAAATCTTCACAATTTATGTTCTTCTGCATGGCTTCAGCTGGTCCCTCCATTCAGGGTCCCTGACTCTCGTGCAACACAGAATGCATTATATTAGTAATGGAGTAGAAGTAAGTATTTCTTAGAAAATGAATTTTAAAGTAATACAAGCACATTTTTTTCAGGTGCTAATGTCTTTTTTTTCTTAGAATTAAAAGGATTTTTCTTTTTTTTTTTTTTAGAATTAAAATTGGGAGAACTACTTCATGATAAACTGTAAGTATTCTTTGAAAATGGTGTAGTGTAATATTTCAGTCTTTTTTTTTTTCTCATGTGGAGTAATATTCCCTGAAGTTTGAGTAAATTTACATTTCAAAATTATGAAAATAAAACTAATTATAAATATATTTTTAACTGTGATGAGCTATTTTGGGGCAGCTGACCCTAGTTGTGATGTGAAATGGTTATACCTAGGGAAACTGTAACTTATGGTCCTTTCCTGGAGAGCAGATGTAATGAATGTGGAATTTCTTGAAGAAAAGGTATCAATTGTATGTCATATGTGACAGGTTGGTTGATAACCAGAAATTGGGTGATCATGCCTAGATAAAAGTAAATGAGAATCCCTGTGTCTTAGTCAGTTTAGTGTTGCTGTAGCTAGTAACACCTGAGACTGGGGAGTTTATAAAGAGGTTTATTTGATGACTGGAAGGTTCAAGATTGGGCAACTGCATCTAGTGAGATAATAGCTGCTTCCAACTCATGGTGGAAAGCAGAAGGAGTTAAAGGGGAGCAGGTAAGGCTGTGGTGCGAGGAGATCACATGGCAGGAGGATGAAAGAGAAACCGAGGGAAGTCAGAGTCTTTAAAACAACCTCCACCCTCTTGGATGGTATTGCTGGACTCTTTGAACAACTTGGGGACTGGGGTGCCGACCCACCCTTACAGTAAAAATCCACATAAAACCTTGACTCCGCCAAAATCTTAACTATCTGTAGCCTGTCATTGACTGGAAGTCTTAATAATAAAATAAACAGTTGATTAACACATATTTTGTGTGTCATATGTGCTTAAGTATACTGTATTCTTACAATAAACTAGGAAAAGAAAATGTTATGAAGAAAATTATAAGGAAGAGAAAATATACTTACTGTTCATTAAGTGGATCATCATAAAGGTTTTCATGTTTGTCATATTCGTGTTGAGCAGACTGAGTGAAGGAAGAGTGCTAGTCTTGCAGTCTCTGGTGGCACAGGTAAGAAAACCTTTTGTCTAAGTGGACTTCTATGCAACTGTAAACACATGTTGTGAAAGGGTCAACTGTAATTCATTCCTGGGAGAGCAAGAACTCACCTCCCTGGGAAAGCTTTAATCTTTTCATGGGATTCTCCCCATGCCCAAGACACTTCCCACTAGGCCTCACCTCCCAACACTGCCACATTAGGACTTCAAGTTTTAACATGAATTTTATGGGGAGGCAAACCACATTCAAAACCATAGCACCTTGGAAAAACAAAATAAATGGAAATACTTGTTCATGTTTATATGCCTATATATAGCCCCAGTTCCTATACTGCCATGGCCAGGCTCAATTTTCAGGGTTAGGAATGTGAAACTTTTATTAATTAGTAAGTAGACAAGATTGGACATTGTGGTTGTGGGGAGGGAAAGTAGAATCTGAAATTCAGTTCTTCTCAGATTTGAGCGTGCGACAGAATCATCTGGAGGGCTTACTAAAGCATAGATTGCTGGGCCCCACCCCGAGAATTCTTTATTAGGTCTATGTGTAGACCACAGAAATCTAAATATTTCTTTTTTGTTGTTGTTTTGTTCTTTTGTTTTTTTGTTTTGAGATGGAGTTTTGCCTTGTTGCCCAGGCTGGAGTACAGCGGTGCGATCTCAGCCCACCGCAACCTCTGCCTCCCGGGTTCAAGAGATTCTCCTGCCTGAACCTCCCAAGTAGCTGCGATTACAGGCATGCGCCACCATGCCCAGCTGTTTTGTAACAGGGCTCTTCATTTTGGTCAGGTTGGTTTGAACTCCCGACCTCAGGTGATCCACCCGCCGGCCTCCCAAAGTGCTGGGATTACAGGCGTGAGCCACCGCGCCCGGCAGAAATCTTTTTCTTCCTTGACAGTGCATGTAAAATCATTTGAGTGGCAAGTACATGAAATAATTTTTGTGTCAATCGACAGTTAATTGAAGTAGAAGTGTTAGCAAGTTGAGAAGACTGAATACATAGAATAGTTATTAAAGTATATAATTTATACTACTGTGAAAATAAGGAATAAGCTTACTGGCTCAAAAACAATCTTGTGGATTTAATTTTTTATTTGCAGATTTGGTCTTTTTGAAGCCATGTCTGCTATTGAAATGATGGATCCCAAGATGGATGCTGGCATGATTGGAAACCAAGTTAATCGAAAAGTTCTCAATTTTGAACAAGCTATCAAGGTAGTCACCATTGTACTTTTGTGTTTCCTTTTATCTTTTGTTATTTTATGTTAAAACATTGTGCTTAGTAATGAAATGAAACGTTGTATTAATGTCTGTTTCCTTCAAAGCAATGCAAGATATAAACAAGAATTATTACAACCTTTATATGTTAAATCTGAAAATTAAGGTCTTTATTAAAATCTTGCTCTAAATTTGTGCATTTGTGTACTTTTAAAATTAATTTTTGAAAGCATTTGACTCTATATTCAAATAGGAAAATTGGCTTGGGGGTTAAATTTTGTGTATTAAATATGCTAATGTTATTAAAAAATTTGCACAAGTAAAATACTTGTGGTAGTGAATTTAAAGTTGCTTTAGAAATTCATTTATACTTGCAATAGAGTTTGATTTTACATATTTTATAAAGAAAGGTTTGCTGAGCAAATGAATATTGTAAACAAAATTTGCAAGTAAGAAGTTAACTAACTTAAGAGAAGTATCAAAATCTTAGTTTTCTTTTCTAAGTAGTTTTGGGTCATTAAAATGATTTATATTGTTAATACTTAAAAGCTGGTTTGAACTACTGCTCTGAAAAACACCTGCTTGACTTGGCTTTTTCATTTTATATAAAGGCCTTTATTGTTTAGATTTTTCTTATTGAAGACCTAAGATATATTGTTTTTAATTATGCCTGCCAAAAACAAAACTCTATAAGACCCATAGTTTTTAAGAATACAGAGTTAATTTGGTGATAGTTTTATCAGATGATAGATAGCATTTTCTTAGAATTGCTGTTTTTAAATATTGAATGTTAGAAATCCAGAATGCTACTATATATAGTAACCATGTTTAAAAAAATTTCTGCTTATATATCACATTCTTCCTCCTTTTTAGGATGGCACTATTAAAATTAAAGATCTCACCTTGCCTGAACTGATAGGGATTATGGATACATGTTTTCAAGGTTTGGTAAGAATGGAATTAAGACTATTAGTTAATTTAAAAACTGTGATTTACCTGAATCTTGTGATTTAAAAGCCTATACACTAATGCTGAGTATGAATAAATGTAATACTTGGCCTAGTAAAGATGTGTGCATAAGATTGGCAGGCCTGGTAATAGGATTTCATCTTGTCATCTACTTCATGGATTTACATTTTAATTTTCTGGGTGAAGGGATATTTTCTTTTCAGTGAAGATAGTATTGTAGCCATTGTTCATAATACCCTCTTTTCGCTCTCTCCAGTTACTTCAAGCAATAAGTCTGTAATTGGAAGGTTTCATGTCAAGCGTGAATCAAACAAAAGAGAGCTAGACAATGGCTTTGAGAGATTTTTTCTAATCTAGATAAATTGTGGTAAATCACATCTCCTGAGAAGAAAATTTTTTTAAAGGATTTGTATATGCTGAATTATGTTTTCCCTGGAAAGTATTGTGTGTGGAGAAATTCTCATTTGTACTGCTTTCCTCTCCCCCCTGCTTTCTGACCATCCCTTTCTTTTAAATTGACATTAAATCATTGTCCTTAGAAATATGAAAATTTATTCATTTGTTCATTCAGCGTTTATTGATTGATTGCCAGTGTGTGTGGTTGTATTAGGTGTTTTATATTATGTATACAGTTTTCACTTACGTTTATATGAGCTTTATTAGGTATCCGTACTATCTACTGTCTATGGGTATGTTGTTTGGGAGGGCCCTTGCCAGAATCTTAATCCTGATCCTTCATCTTCCAAAGCTGCTCCCCTTTACCCTCAAAGATTTCTTTATTACCTTTTAGCAAGCCATAAACTCTAGTGGGTGGAGTAAAGAAAAGAGTCAAAGGATTGCTGGGAACAGACATGTGAATAAAAACAATTTGACAACATGAAAATGCTTGTGTAATGGTGCACAGGAACAGAGAGGAGGAGTTAATTATGTCTGGGAGAGTAAGAAAGGCTGTAGAAAGGAAGTAATATTGGTATGAGGTACAAAAGAATGGTAGGTGTATGACAGGAAGATTCATGGTTTAGTAGGCAAAGAGGTATATTGCATGGGCATGGCAATGTGAAAATGTTCATTTTGGAAAATCATAGATAGCTGCTTAAGGCTGGAAATTGGCAGTGGAGCCAAGTAGGAGGAGTGTGGATAAGTGGAGAGTGGTGGAGAAGGAGGGAAAGGTAAACAGAGGGAGGATTTTTGCCAAAGTTGAACTATTCTGTGAGACTCTTGGGACTGTATTTAAAAATTTGACTTTAAAAAGGCAGATGGTTTTAGTCTGAGAAAGTCTCTTCTGCACAGTAGTTAATACCAAATACACACTTTAATTACAAGTTTTCCACAAACATTTGTCATTTTGCAATGCAGTAGCATATGTCTTACTCTGTTGCAGAATTTCTTGGGCTTTAGGTGTAAAAATAACTATAAACTGGGCAAATGATTTAAACTCTTATTCTGTTTCTTACATGTAAAAGGAGAAAAATACTCACCTTTCTCAAAGTGCTAGGAAAAATGAGAGAGATTTGAAAATAACTTCATACTAATATTTGGGGACACAGTACTTACCTAATTTTGCCTGTTGTTGGTATTCCTAACCTCTAGTACATGGTGCCAGACATAGTGGTCACTCAGTAAAATAGTGTAAAGTGATTCTCTTAGTGTTTTAGGAAGATCTCTACTTGGGGGTATTAAATTAGAGATGGAGGCGGAAACCTGTCTATTTCCTAGTTTCTTCATAATCTAGGTGCGATGTGGTGCTGGCTGGGTTGTGATGGTAAGGATTATAAAGTTCGATGAGTGTCTAAGGATCTGGTTAGTTCTACAATTGTGGATTTTCCAGTTTATGGATTTTTTTATTGACTACATTGTGGACCTGATTTCTTTTGGATGCTACATAAAGAGGCAGTCTGAATTTCATTAATCTCTAATATGTTGCAAACTGATTTCATATACGACAGTGATTCCTATAGATGCTTGAAAAATGTTAGTCAGTGAAAGAGAATTTAACTTGTCTGTTTTTTAAGTCTTGTGATTAATCTTATCTGGGTCTATGGTGCTCTGGCCTTTAACTCTAGGATCAATTTAGACTTTGCAGACTCAATCTTATACCTTAAATATATACTTTGTTTCTTTATAGATAACATGGTTAGAAGGCCATTCGTTGGCACAGACAGTATTTACGTGCCTTTACATTCATAATCCAGACTTTATAGAAGATCCTGCTATGAAGGCTTTTGCTCTGGGAATCTTGAAAATCTGTGACATTGCAAGGGAAAAAGTAAATAAAGCTGCTGTTTTTGAAGAGGTAAGATTTTGTAATATAAGAATTCCTTGGCCAGGTGTGGTGGCTCATGCCTGTAATCCCAGCAGTTTGGGAGACCAAGGTGGGCAGGTCACCTGAGGTCAGGAGTTTGAGACCAGCCTGGCCAACATGGTGAAACCCTGTTTCTACTAATACACAAAATAACTAGGTGTGGTGGCGTGCACCTGTAATCCCAGCTACTTAGGAGGCATGAGAGTTGCTTGAACCCAGGAGGCAGAGGTTGCAGTGAGCTGAGATTGTGCTAGTGCACTCCAGCCTGGGCAACAGAACGAGACTGTCTCCAAAAAAAAAAAAAAGGAATTTCAGTTCATTGACTACCTTATTCACTGTGATGTATTTAAATGATTTTGTGATACATACTTTCGCTTCTTGCTGTATATTTAAAAACAGTTTTTAAAAGTAATGCTGCTGCCATTTACAGATATATTGGTAAAGTAATCAGCCTTTCCAAGAAAGGGTCATCTTAGCATATGTTCTTTCTGTCAGTACTGCTTCATTGAGTATCCGTATGTGCAGACTACTGTTTTTGGAGGTTGTGGGATTCCTAGAGAAAATGAAAGAGACAGCCCTTGTCCTCCAGTCTGTTAGAAATTATAATACAAAAAGGAGCTATGAGAACAAAGACATGAATATTTTAGGGTATAGACATTTTGGTTTGTCTAAGTTTTAGAGATAGAAAGATTTTTTTCCCTTAGTGTGTAAAAAAATAAGCTTCAGATGCTGATAATTTTCAGGGAATTGCATCTCAACCTAGGACTACAAAAAAAAGAATTGTATAAGGGAAAACGTGATAGCATTTGAAATTATTGATAACTAACTATTTTGTTAAATTCTTCGTTGAAACCGATGTTTCTTTTCTTTTAGTGCTGTTACTGGTCCAGAATAAATTTCCTCTAGGATCCAACAGTGGTTCAGTGTATAGTATAAATCCTTTCTCAGTTTATACTATGTATGTGAGAATAATTAAATGTATACTCAATATGTTTGTCAGTATTTGAAGGTGTGTCTTTTTGTTTTTTTTTTTTTGGGGAGGGGGATGGGGTTTCAGTCCTTTTGCCCAGGCTGAGTACAATGGGGCAATCTCAGCCACTGCAACCTCCATCTCCTGAGTTCAAGCTATTCTGTGCCTCAGCTTCCGAGTAGCTGGGATCACAGGTGCACCACTACTTCGGCTAATTTTGTATCTTAGCAGAGACTCAGTTTCACCTGTCTGCCAGCTGATCCTCTGCTCCAGCCTGTGATCTGACTGCTTCTGCAAAAGCCTGTGCCTGGAAATTCACAGGCAAGAACCACCTCTGCCTTCCTGGGCCGATGGCTCTTGTGGGAGTTGTTTGAAACAGTGTCCACTTTTTATATAGTCATTGGTTATCTTGCATGTTGTATTGATATGGAGTACTGGCTATGGAAAATTTTATTCATTTGGATAGAATTTTAAAAAGATTAGTTTGAGTTAGAGAAATGCAGATTATTTTAAATACTAGTATTTTCAAAGTACAACTAAAAGGACATCAGAATCAGTGGGCAGAGAGGATTCCCTTGAATAACAGCATGAACAATTGCTTGGCACCCCTTGGAAAGTTACTTTATCATTTCATATCAAAATTTCAGAAAGCTGAAATGTGTTCAGTATAAAAAATTAAAAGAAGATAGTTTACAGAAAATAAAATGGCCTTTAAACGTAAGATGCTTAATCTCACTTTAATGCAAATTAAAACTGAAATACCATGTTTACCTACTGCTGGCAAAGATTAGAAATTGGTTTATAGTAAGATTGATGAAGATGGGAAAACAGGCACCTATACCCAGTATGTATGTCAACGAACATGAGCAACAATATTCTCCACTTCTTAGTCTTTTTTTAGAACTTTTTATTGGGAATACTTAGATTAACAGTACTGAACCAGCACAAAGAACATATAATTCATATGCAGATTCAGCTACTGTTAACATACTGTCCCATTTGCTTTTCTTCTACTCTATGCATGTGCTCCTGCCCACTCTCTCTCTCATGTATGTTTGTATGTCTTTTCCTGACATGTTAGTAAGTTGTGCCCATTACAGCCTTCTTCCCCGTGACACTTTAGTGTGTTTCTCCAAAGTAAAAGGGCACTGTCCTGCAGAACCACAGCACAATTATCAACTTCAACAAATCTGTAATAACAATGTACTATTCAGATTCCATTTTTGTTAATTGACCCAATCCTTCTTAGTGTTTTTTCCCCAATCCAGTCTAGAATTATAACCTGCATTTAATTGCGATTTTTGGTAGTAGTATTTAAGCTACATGAGATCCTCAGCTTTTTCTTTGTTTCCGGTGACATTGATATTTTTGTGAACACAACCTTGTCCTGCTTTTCATTCTTTAATAGCTGCGCCTCACTTGGGTTTATCTGTTCTTTCCTAATGATTAAATTTAGATTGTGCAGTCTTGTGAATATAACATAAGTGATGTGTGTTTTTCAGGGTGTCACATCTGGAGGTATACAGTCTGTCTGCCCTTCAATAGTGATATTTTGGCTGGTTCATAAAAGCTTTTGTCTTATTTCCATGTGGTTACTGTTTTTAATTCTTTGTATGTAAGCAATCTTGGGATACACTTTAAGACCATAAAAATATCCTGCTGACTGAAATCTCTCCCCTTAGATTGAACATCCATCGACGGTGCTTGCCTGGACTAATGTTTACTGTGATGGGTTAAAAATTTGCATTTTTGATTCCAGTACATTTTCCACATTGATCAGTCAGTACTTGACATCCTACTCTAAGCAAGACTCATACTTTTTTGGTGGGAGTGTAAACTCTTACAACTTTAAAAAAGCAATGTGGTGATATCTATCACAGTAATCTAACATGCATGTCTTGACTCAGCAGTTTCACTTCTAGCACTCCATCCTACAAATATATTTGTGTTTGTACACAAAGACCTGTGTACAAGGATGTTACTTACAGAATTGTTTGTAATCTAGTTTGGAAACCACCTCAGTATCCATCAGCAGAGACTAATTAAAAGATGTTACATTCATACAGTCAAAGGCTGGTTGCTGGCTGCTGTGTGGCCTGCGCCTATAATTCCAGCACTTTGAAAGGACAAGGTAGGCAGATGACTTGAGCCTGGGAGTTCGAGGCCAGCGTAGGCAACATATCGAGACCGTGTCACTACAAAAAATGCAAAAATTAGCTGGGTGTGGTGGTGTGTGCCTGGGAGTCTTAGCTTACTGGAGAAGCTGAGGTTGAGTGACCGCCTGAGCCTAGGGAGGTCAAGGCTGCAGTGAGCTGTGATTGTGCCACTGTACTCCAGCTCTGTGTGCAGAGTGAGACCCTGTCTCCAAAAAAAAAAAAAAAAAAAAAGGGCATTTTACTGATTTTAAAATGGAGAAGGAGATTGATTTATGTGTAGAGATAAGATTAGATTTCTAAAGTGAGAAAAGTCAGGTGTAGTAAAGCATGTGTCTAGCTTGCTACCACTTTTTTCTGTTTTAAAAAGGGAGATGGGTAGCTAAATCTTCATACACAAGAGGATAATAGGTCTTGAGGGCTGGGGTATACACTTGTTTGCACTGCTGGGATTTTATGGTGTGTCTGCATTATTTTGTTTTTAAATAAACTAAAGTAAATTTTTTAGTAACAAGAAATTATAATTGAATTTTTATTTCTAGGGAGGATTCCACTTGTTACCCAGGCTGGAGTGCAGTGGCATGATCATAGTCACATAGTTTGTCTGTGCCCAGCGATACTTGCCTCAGCCTCCTGAGTAGCTAAGACTACAGATGTGTTCCACCACACGTGGCTAATTTTTAAATTTTTGTAAAGACTGGATTTGCTTGTTGGCCAGGCTGGTCTCGAACCTGGGTTCAAGTCATCTTCCCACCTCAGCCTCCTAAGTGCTGGAATTACAGCCGTGAGCCACCATGACTGGTTGGTAATTGAAGATCCATTTATATTCTGGATGAAGGTCTTACTAGGAAATGGGAGAAATGTTAAAGGAAGAGACTAATAGGACAAGAGTGATAGAAAAACTTTTAGGAAAAATAAAAGGTACAAACATAAGATAATTTTTTTATGAATTATGTCACATTCAAGTAAACTATAACACTCCAGGCCCAAATGAATAAAAATGGGCACAAAATAAGTTGCTTATTTTATGAAGGAAGGTTATCAAATAGCTATAACACTTTTAAAATTTAGCTTCACTATAATCCAGGAAATACAAATGAAAATGAGTAGTTTGATTTTTTCTTTCTTTTTTTTTTTTTTTTTTTAACCTCACCCACCTCTTGATCTCAGATTTCCCGGCTCCTAGAACTGATTGATTTTCATGAATATAATTTTAAAAATGAAAATGTTCAATGTTGAAGGAATGCAGCAAGTTGACACTTCTGTTTTTACTAGTGTACATTAGCACAGCTATTTTGGCAAACAGCTTAATAATGTGATATCAAGAATCTTAAAAATACTGATATTTAAACTGAAGGCTATTTGCACTCAGCCTTTTAAAGAAATAATTAGGCCGGGTGCTGTGGCTCACACCTGTAATCCCAGCACTTTGGGAGGCCACGGCGGCGGATCATCTGAGGTCAGGAGTTCGAGATTCAGCCTGGCCGACATGGTGAAACCCCGCCTCTACTGAAAATACAAAAAGTTAGCTGCAGGCATGGTGGCACATGCCTGTAGTCATGCCTACTTGGGAGGCTGAGGTGAGCAATCGCTGACCTGGGAGGCGGAGCGCTTGCAGGAGCTGAGATTGCACCACTGCACTCCAGCCTAGATGACAGAGTGAGACTCCATCTCAACAACAGTAACAAAAAAGGATGTAATTAGAAATAGGCACTTTAGTGCCCAAATGCATTAAACCAGAGTTTTCATTAGTGAACAATTGATACCAACCAGAATGCCACCATTAGAGTTGTGCTGAAAGTCAAATTATGATAATTGATTACATATAATTTATTATGTATATTGAGTACGAGTTATTAGCACATGAT